TTATTTAATTTACATTAATTAAACTAAAATTTATTAAGTAGTTAATTAATATCAGGGAAGTATGCAAATAAATATCAGCAACAAGACATATGTTGCTGAAAACTAGGGAATGTACTATTCTTGAACTTTCAGCAACGTGACTCTGGTTGCTGAAAATAGGGAAGCAAAACTGCTTACTGAAAACCACCATTTCTACTAAACTTTTAACAACATGAGCCACGTTGCTAAAAATATAGTTTCAGCAACGTGGCTTTTGTTGCTGAAAATGGTTGAATAAACTCCACCATCGGTCACCGGAATCCGGCAAGAATATTACCAACATAAATCACGTTGCTGAAAGTGTTCTTTTAGCAACAAGGGTATGTTGCTGATACATCAGCAACATACCCTTTGTTGCTAATGTATCAACCACCAAGGCTTTTCCAACAAAGCTTTCAGCAACGAAAGCTATGTTGCTAAAAGGCTTTTACCTACATTGAAAGCATTTTCAGCAACAATGCAAGCACTTTCAGCAACATGCTCCCATGTTGCTGAAGGTTGGAATTTTAGTAGTGTATATGCGTGTATGTATGTCTATATATATCAAAACGTGTTTTATAATATAGATTGTGTATTAAAAATGTAGTTTGCTCTATGAATTTACTAAAATACCTTTAATAAAATTATTTCTTATATTATTTCATTAAGGGTATTTTAATAAATTTATAAAAGAGACTGTATTTTTTATATACAGTCCAAACTGTATTATATGACTCCCTATATAATTTTTGGTATATAGGAAGCCATCACTAGAACTTAAGCTCTAAAGTGGGTCTTAAACTCTTAAAAGAGGTTCATTAGATATTTATTTGAGATTTTATAAGTATTTTTAAGAAATTTAGTAAAGATCTTAAAGAGACTTGTTGAAAATTTTAGAAGGTTTATTAGGTATTTATTTGAGATTTATTAATGATTTTAACAATTGTAATAATACAGTAACATAAGATATAAATTTTTTTTTGATGGAAACTATGTATGTTATTGCTTAATAAACAATATCAGTACAGATAGCTAAGGGTAAAGTACCCACCCAAACTCCTTCCCATGATGATAAGGGGGAGTGCATATGCGCTATCCTATGAGAAGTTTCATTAAAAGTTCTACGAACATATTTGAAAAAACAGGAATCAAATAATCTGACACGTTCCTAAAGTTCATCAACAATAACCCCATATGTTAGGTAACACTCATCTAAAGAAGCTGCCACTTGCACACTACATTCATGCTATCAGACTCCACAATGATATTTTTGCAGCTAAACTCTTTTCCTAGTTGTACCCCAAAACAGATTGCTAAGACTTCTGCATGAGTGACCTCGCCTTGAAAACTCATGGTCTTTTTGCCTGCACCCAGGACACTACCATTGCTGTCTTGAAGGATAACTCCAAGGCTGGCCGTACCTAACTGATTTGGAACACTTGCATCAAAATTAATTTTGATAACACCTGCGAGCGACGTCGTCCAAGCTGTTTCTGCTAGGGCTGGGTTATGTTCTGCTTCCTACAGACTATCTTCAGCCATTGTTGTTGTTGCTCTATACTCTTCTATATAGTGTCTGATGGCCCGAATACTCCTATCAGGTGAGAAGCAAGAATGATTATAGATACATTTGTTCCTGTTATTCCAATAGACCAAAGAGTCACAATAACTATCTCCTTATTTTCTGAACTCAATGCAAGGAAGAATTCAAGAAAGTCATTTATAAATGAATTATGCTAAATATAGTGCAAAGAAACTGTTGAAAGGACTTCTTTCCACACTGCCTTACTCCATGCACAATCAAAAAATAAATGAAAATAAGATTCCCCTGTTGCATTACAAATACCACATTCCTGCTCTAAATCGAGACCACGCGATTGTAGTATGTCTCAAGAGGGCAAAATCTCCCATATAATTCTCCATATAATTCTCCACAAGACATGCTTAATTTTAGGGGGGACATTCCATAACCAGACTACTTTCGAAACTAGTTTTAGAACTTGATCATGATCATGATGCTCAAAACCAAAGATGAACTTCCATGCATATTTATATGCAAATTTAACTGAAAATTTGCCATTATTTGTTCCAAGCCATATTAATCAGTCAATAGAGTAGCTTCTACTAAGAGGGATGTGAGAAATACTCTCAGAATCCTCTGCACAGAAGGATTGTTGAACATCATCTTCCTTCCATACTCCGGTTAACAAGAGCCGATTGTGGCTGAGGGATGGCACCTGATGGTAACCAAGTGTCCCTTCAAATCCTGACTTCCCGCCCATTACCTATTCTCCATGTTGATCGCATTTTAAGAATACCAAGGCCATCAATAACCCCTTGCCAGACCATAGAAGCATTGGTCCCTGCAGTAGCTCCCAATAAATCGTCATTTTATAAATCTTTAGATAGATTCTCACCAAAGCAATTTAAGAATATAACATGCTATGCGCCAACCTACAATATTTATTTAGTCCTTTCACATGCATAACAATTGAATATATAGCGCCATTTACCCAGAAAGAAAAAAATAGTACCCCGTAACCCACAATTTGCATTTAAAAAGGTGTCCTGCAACTATTACCAAACGGGAATATATATATATATATATATATATATAAAAGTAACATTAGTCACTTATACATGAGACCCATGCGCACTGTTAAAGAGATTTTTTTACTTTTGTAAGTTTAAATTGGACTCTATTTATGACAGCATGGTAGTAACGAAGATAAAGTAACGAACTAACGACGGTTATGTAGCTTATATAATGGAGTACTGTCTATTTTAGTCTAATTACAACAATAATATAAAGTATATTGAGGAGCTAAGGGTTTCAAAAACAATGAATTGAAGGGCTTCCAGGGGGGTTATGCGCAAACAAAGCTTCTTTACCTATACTCCATAAGCATTTTATCCCCCTTTTTGGATTATATAACTCTCATCCAAAGAACCTATAAACCATCTCATGCTTTGATAGGCTCTATCCCTTTTAATCTCTACTGAAATTTCCTTCCCATAAAATTTTCCCAATTCAGGACCATAAATAGAAGGATAGTCGTAGAACATTTTGCCACACTGAGATAAGTTAAGCTTCTCCAGATTCTTGCACTTCTGAAAGATTATGCAAGCACCCCTCTGAATATGGGCATCTAGTCCATGCTCAACATCGATGATGGGTTGTGACTTGTGAGCCATTTTCTAAAGACCTATACACAGATTATAATGGACCATTTTCAGAGATTCTGTTGAGCCATTGCCTTGAGATGATTTTGCTTGATGGGTTGAGAGCTCTGGAAATAAATGTGAAATTTTGTAATTTTAGGTTTCTCCCTTTTAGTAGGTTTTTCCTCTTTCTTTTTTTTTTTTTTTTTTTTT